CCTACATCAACATTTTAACAATTTCCGTGCAAAGACAGCAGACTTGACTCAGATAACAGAAGCATATAAGGCCCCTTTCACACTGATGGTCCGATCGGGTCTGCCTGTCGGTTTTTCAGGTGGACCCGATCAGACCATCCATAGACCTCCATGGACCGGAAGGTGTCAGTGGACAAGTGTCCGCTGACACCCACCGGCATCCGATCCTGTACACCAAAAACAAAAGAATGGGGATCCGTTCCCCATCCGTCCGGCAGATCGGATGGGATGACAGTCGGGCAGGCGTTCAGTTTCCATCCGACTGCCACAAGACTCAAGCCTTGCCCAGACTCAAAAAAGCCTATGAAAAAGGTACCAGGGGCATCTCATGGGGCCCCCTACTGACCCCGGGCCCTCGGGCAGTGCCCGAGTTTCCAAATGGTCAGTCCGCCCCTGCTTATTAGGACTACTGATAGGCAAGTCCTTGCACTTGATACAACAGTTCAGTGAATAACCAGTCTTAACATTTGACAGGATGTGTTTACCGGAGGATGGCTTCAGTTATCAGGGAGGGTAGCATTCCCTGATGGAGTACCTGAAGAGCGATATTCTGCAACCTGTACTGTCTTCACACTCCCACACTGACCACTAAAATGAATTAAGCTGTTGGGGGGAGCCTTCTCTGAGCTACCCCTATTCACCTGGAACCTCTCCCAACACTACATGATGCCCCTCACAAGTGGGTTCCTGTACCTGTCCAACCACTCGCCTAAAGCATGACAAAGTGATGTGGGTTCCTTTATTTAAAAGGTTCCCTCACCCAAAATGGCCACCAAACTAGACCACTTTCCTTCTTGAGGCACCAGACGAAATCCCTAAGGGACCGATTCCCTTACGAAACCCTGCAACGATGGCATAAGGCCACCTACAGGTGTGAAGACTATCTACAAGCACTCTTCACAAAAATAAATTTATATACATAATTATGATCCAGATGATCTCAGTCTGGTTCAGTAAAATAACTCAATTAATAACCTCCTATTCTGTGAACCCACCAAAAAGTCACACTTTCTCCCTAGAAAGTATACTATATGTAAACCTTTTTGTGATATACTATCTATAAAATAAATAAATATACATATAGATAAATAAAGTACATAAATCCTAAAGTGTCCAATTCAACAAAAGTCCCACATGTGTCCAATAAAATCCAAAGATCCAAATTTCCATCCAGTAAGAAGGATTGACTCATTAATCCAATGATACCTCAAAGAAATGAGAAATATACACCATAGTGCATTACCTTTTACATTTTCAAAATAAACCAATATTGTGCAAACACAAAATCACGCAAAAATGTGAAAAAAACAAAACAAAAACAAAACTTATATATGTATGTATATATATATATATATATATATATATATATATATATATATACTTAACCCCAAGTTGTGAGCACTCTGTGAATAACTGCAACACTGTGAACACTCCCGTGGACAACACCCAACACCCCTAGGTACTATTACCCTCTGTGTGTAATTATACACATATCGATAATATGGAACCATAATCTTCCATTCTTCCTTTATGGATACTCCTTCCAAGGTCCTCACAAAGACAAGAAGAGTCTTAAGACAGATCTCCAAGCATAGATAAAATTTAATAGTAACTTACATTATAGTAACCAACTTCCAGCTCTGACAAAAGGCTTTCTGTAGAGGTTCACCAAACACTGGCACACACCATGTGTAGGTAACCAACAAAATGGCCGCGGCGACACTTCCGGTTAGCGTACGAGCGTCTTGACGTTAGGGGAGGTGACGTCAAGACGCACGTACGCTAACCGGAAGTGTCGCCGCAGCCATTTTTTTTTTTTTTTTTTTTTGCGTGATTTTGTGTTTGCACAATATTGGTTTATTTTGAAAATGTAAAAGGTAATGCACTATGGTGTATATTTCTCATTTCTTTGAGGTATCATTGGATTAATAGGAGTCAATCCTTCTTACTGGATGGAAATTTGGATCTTTGGATTTTATTGGACACATGTGGGACTTTTGTTGAATTGGACACTTTAGGATTTATGTACTTTATTTATCTATATGTATATTTATTTATTTTATAGATAGTATGTCACAAAAAGGTTTAAATATGGTTCAGTAAAATGACAGGTTTTATTTTCTCCGTGCTTCTTTGAGCAGTTGGCTGGTCCAAAATTCTGCACAGAGCAGTGCCACATAATGACATGACCTTGCTCTCTGCTCTGTGGCATTCTCCTAGGTCTATGCTGGGGTCAGGGCAGGCAAGACAAGTTCCTATAAAAGATCTATGCTAGGATAATGGCAGGCAACACAAGTTCCCTTACACAGGGTATGCTGAGGTCAAACAGCACAGGTTCCTCTATAAGGTCTTTGCTGGGGTCAGGGAAGGCAGCACAAGTTTTTGTCTGCAAGGTCTATGCTGGGGTCAGGGCAGGCAAGACAAGTTCCTCTAAAAGATCTATGCTGGGATCAGATCAGCCTGGGCTGGCAACACAAGTCCCCTTACACGGTGTATGCTGGGGTCAGGCAGCACAGGTTCCTCTATAAGCTGTTTGCTTGCTGGGGTCAGGGAATACAGCATAAGCTCATCTACTAGGTATTTGCTGGGGTAAGGGCAGGCAAGACATGTTCCTCTACAAGATCTATGCTGGGGTCAGGGCAGGCAAGACAAGTTCCTCCACAAGATCTGTGTTGGAGTCAGGGCAGGCAAGACAAGTTTTTCCACTGCCTGTGTTGAGGGTCATGGCAGACAGCACACGTTTCTCTACATGTTAGTTAAGGCTGGGAGCAAAAGAACGACAGATGAAAAGGGTTATTTGGTCACAAGTCATAAACTGGTTCAATTAGAAGACTTGGAATCAGGGGCAGACTGACCATTTGGAAACTTGGGCACTGCCCGAGGGCCCGGGGTCAGTAGGGTGCCCCATGAGATGCCCCTGGTGCCTTTTTCATAGGCTTTTTTGAATTTGTGCAAGGACACAGGGGCCCCATGATCCCCTATTGCCCGGGGGCCCCATGAGTTCTCAGTCTGCCCCTGCTTGGAATGTGAGCGAGAGAAGATCCACCAGAACTAAGCCTAAAGGTTTGGCTTTAAGTTAACAGATACACATTTCTACACTTGTATGCATATGGAGATGTGCCATGTGTCCATACCAGGGGCGGACTGACAACTCATGGGGCCCCCGGGAAATAGGGGGAATCCATATCCAAATATTTTTGATTGTAAGCTCTACCGAGCCTGGCCCTCTGTTTCCTCTTGTACCAAATTGTATTGTAACTGTCATGTCTACTTTCATTTTGTAAAGCGCTGAGCAAACTGTTGGCGCTATATAAATCCTGTATAATAATATTTTTGTGTGTATAGATGCCTGTATTTAGCCCAGGTTCACATTGATGCTGAGAGGAATTTATTTATTTCAGGTACTTATATAGCGCCGTCAATTTACGCAGCACTTTACATATATATTGAACATTCACATCAGTCCCTAACCCTCAAGGGGCGTACAATCTAAGGTCCCTAACTCACATTCATACATACACATACTAGGGCCAATTTAGACAGGAGACAATTAACCTACCAGCATGTCTTTGGAGTGTGGGAGGAAACCCACACGGGCACAGGGAGAACATGCAAACTCCAGGCAGGTGGTGCCGTGGTTGGGATTTGAACCAACAACCCCAGTACTGCCATGCAGAATTGCTAACCATTTGGCCACTGTGCTGCAGTGTTTTCTGTGTGAATTCCGCACCACATCAGAATCACACCCCGTTCATGCAAACCGCTGCGGTTGTGTATGTTCAATTAACAACACGCCAAAATCAGTCTGCAAAACGCGGTGCGATGTGCAGAATCGGATCGCATAGGTGTGAATACCCATGCGATCCAATTCTACCTTTTTGGTGCGGATGCGGTGAGAATTGGCAATTAGTTATGGCAACCAAAAAAAATTGGGTAAATATGTATGTGCAGGGGCGGACTGACAACTCATGGGGCCCCCGGGCAAGAGGGGATCATGGGGCCCCTGTGTCCTTGCCCAAACTCAAAAAAGCCTATGAAAAAGGTACCAGGGGCATCTCATGGGGCCCCCTACTGACCCCGGGCCCTCGGGCAGTGCCCGAGTTTCCAAATGGTCAGTCCGCCCCTGGTCCATACATTTGTCTTGTCCCACGTGTACATATACAGTAAATAAATTAGCACCTACAGTGCAGATGAAGCTAACACAGTGCATAGTAATAGAAATACGATTTTTTATACATTAGTAAATGTTAACACCACAGGTAGGCTGTTGTCAAAACATGTTAGATGGACATAGCTGGCGATGCAGTTTTTGGATTCCTCATTAAATTTCCTACCCTGAATCTGAGTCCAGTTGTGCCTACATGCCAACCACCCACCAATATCTACAGGCAGCTAGACTTCCTTTCCTAGCAACTGGAAAACAGTTTTTTTCTTTTCATTTGCGATCCAGGACTTAACATGAATCAAAAACCCTATTTGTAGGCAACCCTATATAATAGCAACCGACAGATTGGGCTCCCTTGGTATGACCCAGGTCATAAGTATCAGATACAGTCTAAAAGACAGGTGTCAAACACAAGGTCTGCGGGACAAATCCGGCCCTCCAGGCCATTTCATGTGGACCTTGCACCTCTCCTGCAGCTACGGGACCCCCCTCGTCTCTGCCTCCACCTTGTCTCGCAGTCGGCAGCAGAGAAGGAAGAACTCCTCTGCCCAGGGGCGGACTGACAACTCATGGGGCCCCCGGGCAATAGGGGATCATGGGGCCCCTGTGTCCTTGCCCAAACTCAAAAAACCCTATGAAAAAGGTACCAGGGGCATCTCATGGGGCCCCCTACTGACCCCGGGCCCTCGGGCAGTGCCCGAGTTTCCAAATGGTCAGTCCGCCCCTGTCTCTGCCAGATCCTGCACCTCTCAGTGCAAATGCAGCACCCCCTCATCTCTGCCTACCCTGCTCTCAGCAGGGGCGGACTGACCATTTGGAAACTCGGGCACTTCCCGAGGGCCCGGGGTCAGTAGGGGGCCCCATGAGATGCCCCTGGTACCTTTTTCATAGGCTTTTTTGAGTTTGGGCAAGGACACAGGGGCCCCATGATCCCCTATTGCCCGGGGGCCCCATGAGTTGTCAGTCCGCCCCTGGGTACAGCACACAGTCACAAAAGTCCTGGGATCAGGTCAGTACTCCCAATGCCACAGGATCACTGGATGCCTCCTTCCAATATCCATCAGATACACTTCAGTGAGGGGGGGTAAATGCTCACAATGCCACAGGACAGCTAGACCCCTTCCAATCACCACCAGGAACTCTACACTGAGCTCTCCAGGTTCCAGGTGGGGGTTTCAGACTAGCTCCAAGCAGGGATCCTGATAAGTAGGCCCCCACCTCTGCCACAGATGGGACCTCATGACAGAAGACCATACTAGGGTTAGCTGCTGATGCAGGTGGGGCTGGAAACCCCCCCCCTCCCACCCAGACAGGTGGATTCCCTCCAACCAGAGGAAGACATGTGCTGCTCCAAATCCAACACTCTTTATATCGGTCTATCGATATAGGAGGGTGGGGACCCTGATATTAAGGAAGCTTTTGTGGAGACTCTGATGAAAGGGGGGACCTTGATTTAAGGGGGGGTGGGTGTCTGAAGGGGACTCTGATGTAAGGGGGGCTCTGATGGGGACTCTGATGTAAGGGGGGACTCTGTTGGGGGCCCTGATATAAGGGGGACTCTGATGGGGATCTTGATGTAAGAGGGGGACACTGATAGGGACTCTGATGTAGGTGGGGTTCTGGTGAGGACCCTGATGCAAGGGAGGACTCTGGGTGGGACCCTGATCTAAGGGGGGCTGTGGTGGGGACTCTGATGTAAGGGAGGCTCTGATGGGGACTCTGATGTATAGGGGGACTCTAGTGGGAACCCTGATGCAAGGGGGACTCTGGTGGGGACTCTGATGGGGATTTTGATGTAACAGGGGGACTCTGATAGGAACTCTGATGTAAGGGGGGTCTCTGGTGGGGACACTGATGCAAGAGGGGAATCTGGTGGGGACCCTGATGTAAGAGGGGCTCTGGTGGGGACTTTCATCTAAGGGAGGCTCTGATGGGGACCTTGGTGTAAGGAGAGTTCTGATGGGAACTCTGGTGTAAGGGGGGGCTCTGATGGGGGCCCCAATGTAAGGGTGGACTCTGGTGGAGACCTTGATATAAGGGGTAACTCTGAGGGGGATCTTGATGTAAGAGGGGGACTCTGATAGGGACTCTAATGTAAGGGGGTTTATGGTGGGCACCCTGATGCAAGGGGGGACTCTGGTGGGTATTGTGATGTAAGGGAGGCTCTGATGAGGACCCTGATGTAAGGGGGGCTCTGGTGGGGACCCTGATATAAGGGGGTACTCTGTTGGGGACTCTGATGGGGATATTGATGTAAGAGGGGGGACTCTAATTGGGACTCTGATGTAAGGGGGGTTTCTGGTGGGAACCCTGATATAAGGGGGCTCTGGTGAGGACTCTGATATAAGTGGGGCTCTTGTGGGAACTGTGATGTAAGAGGGCCTCTGGTGGGGACTCTGATTTAAGGGAGGCGCTAAAGGGGACCCTAATATAAGGGGAGTTCTGATGGGAAGTCCGGTGTAAGGGGGGGACTCTAGTGGAGACCCTGATGAAAGGGGGGCTCTGATTGGGACTCTGATGTAAGGGTGTCTCTAATGGGGGCCATGATGTAAGGGGGGACCCCTAAAGAAAAATTTGATGTGGGGGTGACTCTGATGGGGATCCATATGTAAGGGGGACTCTGATGTAAGTGGTACTTTGCTTGGTTTTACTGAAATTCTTTCACTTTTGTTCTGAACCATATCATACAGATTCCAAAATTCATTCATTTATAAATCAGATTTTTTTTTTTGGCCCACAACTATTTGTAACATATATGATGTGTCCCTCGTACTGAGGGGGTGGAGCCCCCCGACCTGAACAATGGAGGGGGAGTGATCCCAGTGATCTCCATAGGAGTACACCAGAAGCAAAGATTCCCCGTTTCCTCCAAACCATCCCCCGCCACCAAATCTAACTTGTAAATTCTAAAATCTGGAGAACGAGACTTTCCTGGCAAACCTGGAAGACGATTCAGACTGCAAATATGATTTCTAAATGTAACAACAATTTTGTTGTCAAATCCATCCCTGACGGCTTTACGGATCTGCCGCCCACTGGCTGTCTGACAAGTGCAGGGGGGGGGGGGGGTCGTCCTCCAGGGGGCGCCTTTTTACCTTTTTCTCTTTTTTTTGTAGATGTTGCAGAATAAGAGCAAATCCCTGATTCAGCCCAATGTGAGCGCAGAAATCCGGAGATGTTTCCTTCAAAGAGGGGTAGGAGCAGGGGCGGACTGACCATTTGGAAACCCGGGCACTGCCCGAGGGCCCGGGGTCAGTAGGGGGCCCCATGAGATGCCCCTGGTACCTTTTTCATAGGCTTTTTTGAGTTTGGGCAAGGACACAGGGGCCCCATGATCCCCTATTGCCCGGGGGCCCCATGAGTTGTCAGTCCGCCCCTGGGTAGGAGTATAGGAGAGATGGCAGAATGTTTCGTTTGATTATCGGCCTGTGACAGAAAACAGGCCACAGCATTGGAAAAGAAAAATGTGAGACTGATATTGAAGCTTTTCTCATCTCTGTAGCAAACCATTCATTATGTATTATTATTATTTATTTCAGGTACTTTATATAGAGCCATCAATTTACACAGCACTTTACATATATATTGTACATTCACATCAGTCCCTAACCCTCAAGGGGTGTACAATCTAAGGTCCCTAACTCACATTCATACATACACATACTAGGGACAATTTAGACAGGAGACAATTAACCTACCAGCATGTCTTTGGAGTGTGTGAGGAAACCAGAGTACCCGGAGGAAACCCACACAGGCACAGGGAGAACATACAAACTCCAGGCAGGTGGTGCCGTGGTTGGGATTTGAACCAACAACCATAGTACTGCCAGGTGGAAGTGCTAACCATTTAGCCACTGTGCTGTCCTGTTCATTTATTTTATGCTGTTACACCCCCGTCACATCAAAGACGATTTTTAAATCGTGCGACTTACAGTGAAGTCGCACAATTTCAAAATCGGGTGACCTGCCCATTTCAGTTGCGATTTGCAAGCCATCTGACACAGATGTCTATGCAAATCGCACTAAAAGTAGTGCATGTGCTAGAAATCGGTGCGGCTCCGAGCAAGCCTGAACCGCACCGATATGAGCGCTCTAATAGCGGACAATAGGGTGTGACTTGGCATACGATTTACAAGTCGCCTGGCACGCAAATCGCATGCCAAGGCGCACCCGATGTGACCGGGGGCTTAATCTACTTCTGCAGGCAGATTTATACCAGGATTTGTGTTGCTCCATTCTCATCTTATTTTTATAAGAGTTCGTTCTACAAACTCTGACTTTTTCAAGTGCGGGAATTCGGGGATGTTACCTACAGCCAGGGGCGGACTGACCATTTGGAAACTCGGGCACTGCCCGAGGGCCCGGGGTCAGTAGGGGGCCCCATGAGATGCCCCTGGTACCTTTTTCATAGGCTTTTTTGAGTTTGGGCAAGGACACAGGGGCCCCATGAGTTGTCAGTCCGCCCCTGCCTAGAGCTGTGGTTTAAATTCGCTCCACTTGTATTGCATGTATGTCTGAGGGTGTAGATCACTTTGGAGCCCCCATTGACATCTGAGCCGAGCGATTTTCAGGCGACTTTGAATGTTTTTTGGGTATTTTTGGGTATTTTCTGTTTCCTCTTGTACCAAATTGTATTGTAACTGTCATGTCTACTTTCATTTTGTAAAGCGCTGAGCAAACTGTTGGCGCTATATAAATCCTGTCTAAATAATATTTTTGTGTGTATAGATGCCTGTATTTAGCCCAGGTTCACATTGATGCTGAGAGGAATTTATTTATTTCAGGTACTTATATAGCGCTGTCAATTTATGCAGCACTTTACATATATATTGTGCATTCACATCAGTCCCTAACCCTCAAGGGGTGTACAATCTAAGGTCCCTAACTCACATTCATACATACACATACTAGGGACAATTTAGACAGGAGCCAATTCACCTACCAGCATGTCTTTGGAGTGTGGGAGGAAACCCACACGGGCACAGGGAGAACATGCAAACTCCAGGCAGGTGGTGCCGTGGTTGGGATTTGAACCAACAACCCCAGTACTGCCATGCAGAATTGCTAACCATTTAGCCACTGTGCTGCAGTGTTTTCTGTGTGAATTCCGCACCACATCAGAATCACACCCCGTTCATGCAAACCGCTGCGGTTGTGTATGTTCAATTAACAACACGCTGAAATCAGTCCGCAAAACGCGGTGCGATGTGCAGAATCGGATCGCATAGGTGTGAATGCCCATGCGATCCAATTCTAGTGCGGACCAAAAAAAGGGTCCTGCACCTTTTTGGTGCGGATGCGGTGAGAATTGGCAATTAGTTATGGCAATCCAAGTTCCAGATTGGACCAATGTAAATATGTATGCCCAGGGGCGGACTGACAACTCATGGGGCCCCCGGGCAATAGGGGATCGTGGGGCCCCTGTGTCCTTGCCCAAACTCAAAAAAGCCTATGAAAAAGGTACCAGGGGCATCTCATGGGGCCCCCTACTGACCCCGGGCCCTCGGGCAGTGCCCGAGTTTCCAAATGGTCAGTCCGCCCCTGTGTATGTGCCATACCTGTGGGAATCCTGTGGAAGCCAGAAAACACTATCGTAGGCAATGCTACTACATCGATTGATGTTAGCCTCAGGTCCAGTGCCGAGCAGCTGCCCTGCTGCATTCTGAACACAGGAAGTCGCTCGCTCTGGACGGGTGCCATTTAAGGAGCACATTGCGTCTTCTCAATGAATGTAAAGCATTCCCTGATTGGACAAGGTGGAGAGATGAGGTAGTGGCATCACCATTTCAATCTATTTAAATCTGCAGCATTCATTAAAATAAATCCCTGCTCATCCTGCCATGTAGGTCACTTTTCAGGCACTTGTTATATGGTGACAACACTTTACCCTGCCGTCCAATAGTGCTCATGTGTTGTCACTATACCACAGACGCCCACTGAAGAGACTACAAGGACACACATTGCATGTCATAGCTCACCATTGTCACTACCAGTAAACTGGTCAACGGGAAGTGACCAAAAAAGGTCAAAGAAGATCAGCAGCACTGAGATAAAAAAAAAGAATAAGAAAAAAAAGATAAAAACAGAATATTATGGAAAAAAAACATGGTAACTAGCATTGATACATAGAACTTCAGCTAACTGAATATCGCCCAGTTAGGGGTTACATGCCACTCTGTATTCATTAAATGTATTTTTTTTTAATTCAAGCACTGAATATGACTTGGTATCCGGCACTTGTAATCCCCTATACAGCAGAGCTCAGGCTGGGGAAGGGTGAAGCAGCACAAAGAGCCAGTCAGTTGTGATGCAGTGTAAGGAGCATGCTGATAGGAGGGGAGAGCAGACTGAAAAAGGAAGGAGCTCAATAGTCTGCTACTTCTCCTTTCACTATCCAATCACAGGCTGGGGGAGGGACAAGACCTGTAAATAGGCGGGACAAGGGGTGGGCAGGAGGGGCGGCTGACCTGGGCACTGGGGTGTCCTGTAAGGTGGGGGGAGCTGCGAGGAGATTGGAGGGAGGGGAGGGGATATGTGTTGGGAGGGGGAATTTGGTTGGCTGCGGGGGGTATAAATTGTTCTAGGAGGGATTAATTAAAGGTTTGCTAGGAGTGGTAATTTGGGGGGATTTGTGTTGGGAGGGGGGAAGAGGATTTGTGCTAGGATGGGGGAATTTGGGGGTCTTGTGCTAGAAGAGGTGACATGGTAGGAGGGGGGATGGGAGGGGGGCAAAGATTTGAGCTGGAAGGGGGTTTTAACGTGGGAGGGAATTTGTATTGGGGGGGGGGGGATTTATACTTACGACATAAGCATGCAGATTAGAGCTTTATTTTTTTTTTTTTGGGGGGGGGATTTTTGCTGATACATAATGCTTATATTTATTGGGGGGGGGGCAGTTAGGCATGTTCGCCCTGCGCTCTAGATGATTTTGACCCGGAACTGCCTGTAAATGTTACTTGAAGTGTTACTAAACCCACAGCAGTAAAATCAGTCTGTAGATGCAGTAAAGCATGCTTGTTATACTCACTGTGGAACCTAAGGGGTTAATCCTCTGCATTGTGTAAACAGGCAGTTTTGATCCCATCTTCTCTGATCCTCCCCTTCTTCCAGTGTTCCCCTCTTATCTCCTGAGAAGACATATCTTGTGGAGACACTCTGCACATGCTCAGTTTGGTGTGTATTGCTAGGGAGTTTTTTTTCTTTTTCTTGGGAGAATGCATGTGATCAGCACAAGACCAATCAGTGCTGTCCAGACAGAGGTCAGAGGTTCTGCATCCTCCCAAATGAAAACTCCTCCTACAAGCTTTAACATCTGCTCTGCTGGACACTGACAGAAGTCACAAGACTGCTATATACTGCTGATGAGAAAAGGTATTTAGCAGTTTATATTTACTAAAATAATTGCATTTCCATGTTGTGTGTTCTGTGGGAGCCCAGATATAGTGAATGCAGGGTCCGGGGAGACCAGATATAGTGAATGCAGGGTCCGGGGAGACCAGATATAGTGAATGCAGGGTTCAGGGAGACCAGATATAGTGAATGCAGGGTCCGGGGAGACCGGATATAGTGAATGCAGGGTCCTGGGAGACCGGATATAGTGAATGCAGGGTCCTGGGAGACCAGATATAGTGAATGCAGGGTCCTGGGAAACCAGATATAGTGAATGCAGGGTCCGGGGAGACCAGATATAGTGAATGCAGGGTCCAGGGAGACCAGATATAGTGAATGGAGGGTCCGGGGAGACCAGATATAGTGAATGCAGGGTCCAGGGAGACCAGATATAGTGAATGGAGGGTCTGGAAAGACCAGATATAGTGAATACAGGGTCCGGGGAGACCAGATATAGTGAATGCAGGGTCCGAGGAGACCGGATATAGTGAATGCAGGGTCCGGGGGAAACCAGATATAATGAATGCAGGGTCCGAGGAGACCGGATATAGTGAATGCAGGGTCCGGGGAAATCGGATATAGTGAATGCAGGGTCCTGGGAGAGCTGATATAATGAATGCAGGGACCAGGGAGACCGGATATAGTGAATGTAGGGTCCGGGGAAATCGGATATAGTGAATGCAGGGTCCGAGAGACCGGATATAGTGAATGCAGGGTCCGGGAGACCAGATATAGGGAATGCAGGGTCCAGGGAGATCGGATATAGTGAATGCAGGGTCCGAGAGACCGGATATAGTGAATGCAGGGTCCGGGAGACCGGATATAGTGAATGCAGGGTCCAGGGAGATCGGATATAGTGAATGCAAGGTCCGGGACTGGATATAGTGAATGTGAGTCCGGGGTTTAGTAACACTTTAAATGCAGTAAAGAAATATCTAGTCAGAGCTGTGTAAATCTCAGAACTGGAAGGACAGAAATACAAATCTTTTTGCAGGTAAAACAACTCCCATTAATATGTTTCGTCCATGTATGTTTGGCTAGAGCTCAGTGTGACTGTGAACAAAAACATAGGACAATATTTGGGAGGGGGTGAACGTGCCAGTAAATGATGACATTAAATGTGACCCCCAACCCCCCCCTTCCAGATTTGAACCCATTTTATAAACAGATTCCCCATTAGCATACACAAACACAGAACTATACAATGAAATCTTGCAGAAACGCGGTATTCTATAGAGCCATAATAATGTACATATCAGCAGAATGCAAAGAGCGCTGAATATATAATTGCAGAAACCTTCACTCAATAAAAGCCCATCAATAGCTGAGAGCGGCATTGACACATTCCCTGAAAGCACACTACATTAGGTTTTGTTCCGGCACCATTAATCCCATAAATTGTGCTTTTAGAATTGTCGGGCGGATTGGGGAATGGAGAGGAGAGTGAGCACACCTTGATTGTGCCATGTTCAGCGCAGCCGTTCAAATGGGCTGATTGAGCTGAAAAAAAAAAGTCACAAAACCCGTCTGCTCTCAGCACGGTAATGAGGAATCAGACCGCCTCAATCAGGCATAGGGAAAGGCACCTAATTCCAGCATCTTCCGCTCTTCTAAATAAGTGCTTTGGCTGTGCTCAGGCTAAATATTTAAAGCGAACTCCAACAAATGGCAAAATGCAAAGATAAAATACATATAGGGGTCTATTTATTTAATTTTATTTTATTTTAAAAGGCACATGCCCATTCATTCTGTGCGAATTGGGCAAAAATAAACTGATTCATTGATTTAAAATGCAAAATACCACATTTAGCCACTAGATGGCACTAAGCATCAAAGGAAATTCCTATGTAACATAGCACCACCTAATGGCCAACTGCGGTATTTTCTGTTTTAAATCAATAAAACCCCTGCCCTCCGCTCCTCACAGGACCTCCTACTCTCTAGCTCCCTGGTCTCCTCCTCCCACGCCCGATTGCAGGACTTCTCTAGGACTTCCCCCATCCTCTGGAACTCCCTACCCCAATCCATCAGACTGTCACCTACCCTCCTCACCTTCAGGCGCACCCTGAAAACCCTCCTCTTCAGGGAAGCCTACCCCAAACCTCACCTAACACCTGACCTCACCTAACAACTAACCTCCTCCACTCTCCTCCCACCACTCCCATCCCCCACAGCCACGTCCTCCTGTACCACCTTCTCCTCCCTCCTAGATTGTAAACTCGAAAGAGCAGGGCCCTTGAACCCCTCGTGTACTGTATTGTTACTGTCTTGTCTCATGTTCTGTCCCCCCTTGCTATTGTACAGCGATGAGCAAACCCTTTGGCGCTATATAAATACTGTATAATAATAATAATAAAAGACATTCTGGAAGGAAGAAAAGAGTTGCTGCACACTGATGATCTGTGCAAATGGGGCAAAAAAAAACAAAAAATAAATCCCAAAAACAAATGTTGTTAGGCTATGTCTTGCTCTGGACAAATGTTTTTCATTGATTTAAAATGCAAAATACTGCCCTTACCCACTAGGTGGCACTAAGAATAAACATACATTCTTATGATGACACCATCTAGTGGCCTAATGAGGTATTTTCTGTTTTAAATCAATAAAAGACATTGAGGAAGGAAGAAAGGAGCCGCTGTGCACTGAAGACAGTATGGCCTCTGGATCCTCCCCCCCTCAAATGCGTTTCGACCAGAAGGGCTTACGCATGCAAACGCATTAGGAGGGAAGTCCCACAGGAGGAAAATGGAATTGTGGTTGTTTTCTTGATAATAAAAACCTGGATCTATGTGACGTCATTGGTGTGCAGAGGGTCATTTCTTCCTGTGTGTCTAAAGCACAGCCAGTTCTGTTAACCACGTGCGCTTGATTGAGTCCCGGTCTAAGAGATCTCCCTTTGAACGCATTTTCACACCCAACAGCGTTGCTTACTTGTGAAACGCGCTAGTAGGGAGGTCCCACAGGTGGAAAATGTAATTGTGGATGTTTTTCCTGAAAATAAACCTGGACCTATGTGACGTCATTGGTGTGCGGAAGGTCAATTTCTTCCTGTGTGTCCAGAGCACAGCCAGATCTGTTTGCCACCTGCACTTGATAGGGCCCTGGTCTATGAGACTTTCTCCCTTTGAACATATTTCACTCAACAGGGCTTACTTGTGAAATGCGTTAGAAGGGAGGTCCCATAGATGGAAAATGGAATTGTGGTAATTTTATTTTCTGATAATAAACCTGGACCTATGTGACGTCATCGGTGTGCGAAAGGTCATTTCTTCCTGTGAGTCCAAAGCACATGCCAGTTCTGTTTGCCATGTGCACTTGATTGAGTCCTGGTCTATGGGACCGGTCCCTTCCCTTTGAATGCATTTCACCCAACAGGACTTATTACTTGTGAAACGCGCTAGCAGGGAGGTCATATAGGCGGGGACTATCATCGTGGTTTGTCTTGTGCTCATAAACGTGGACCTATGTGACGTCATCGGGGTGTGGTGGCTCTTTATTTTCCTCCATTGTGCCTGGAGCACGAACAGCTCATTTTTTCCACAAAAGGCACTAACAATCCTAGGAAAATTCCTGTGATATATAGGACCATCTCAGTGGACAAATGCCAGTAATTTTCTCAATAAATCATAAATCACATTTGAGTCTACTATGGGACTTCCCTATGCAATAACCGCATTTCACCCAGCAGGAATTACTTGTGATACTCAATAGAAGGAAGAATCCCATAGGAGGAAAATGAAATTGTGGTTGTTTCTGATAATAAACCTTTACCTATGTGACGTCATCTGGTGTGGTAGGGTCATTCTTTCTTCCTGGGGTGCCAAGCCCGCCCCTTCAGTTTGCCACCCGCATTTGATTAGTCCTGGCATGGGGCTCCCTTTGAAAGGGATTTTACCCCAAAAAATTTCTTACTTTGTGAAACGGTTAGCAGGGGGGTCCCATAGGGGGGGACTTCACGTGGGTTTTCTTTTGGGGAATAAACCTGGACCTAGTGACGTCAAACGGGGGGTTTGGGGGCTCTTTTTTTTTCATCCCTTTTGCCTGGAGAAAGAACAGCTCAGTTTTTTTACTAGAAGCCACTAAGAATCAAAGGAAAAATTTTCCCGTGATTTTCTTTGGAAACCCTCTAGTGGACAAAAGCAGTATTTTTTTTTAATTTAAATCAATAAAAAAACATTTAGGGCCAAAGGGGCCTTTCGGTTTTCAATTAAAGATGAGCGAAGTATTCAAAATTTTGAATTTGACTGATTCGGCGAATTCCCTAGAAAAATTTCTTCCCAAGTCGAATATATTCGCTGTTTAATTTAACTTAAAAAAAGGGTTTTTTCTAGGCTTCAGAGAGACTTAATATTTTTTGCTGAACACGATCCCCCCTTTTAAATTTTAAAAGCCCTTGGGGTCTGCTTGGGGGGAAAAGAAATAATAAAAAATTGGGGGCCGGGAGTATGAAAATGCAGATGAGTGCCGTCGATCTTTGAATCACCGCACACTTCACCTCATTTGGGCATCACGGGGGCCCAAAAACCCAAAGTGGGAAGGGCCCCAGTGGCGGGGGGGGCAAACAGCAATTGGGGGGCCATACACACCCTTGACAAAAATGGAAAAACCCCCAGCAGTGAAAAGGAGACCTGAAAGTTGGGACAAAGGCAAAAGTGTGGGATAGAGACAGCAGCAATGGGAGGCCGTACAGGGGCCCATGAAAACACTCTTGGGGGGCTGGCACAGCATAGGAGGGGGTAAGGGGGCCCCTGGCAATTAAAGGGGCCCGGCAGCACCCTGAGGAGTCGGTTAAAGGGGGGCCCATGGCAGATTCAGGCCGGCAGCAGCAATTGGGGGGGCCGTACGGGACCCATTTACACAATCTACCCTGGGAGCAAACATGGGGAGGGGGGTAAAAGGGGGCCCATTACAGAAATTTCCGGGCCCCGGCAGCAAACATTTTGGGGTCTTTCGGGGGGCCCCAAAACACACTCTGGACCTGGCAACCCGCATGAGGGGCGGTAACAGGGGCCATGAAAAATTACGAGCCTGGGGAGCAGCAACTTGGAAAAGGAGGACGTTTTTAAATTTCTGCAAACCCTCTGGTGCTCTCGCAAACTGTTTTCTCTTTTGGGAAAAAACCCCCAAATTTTTAAAAAAACGGGTGACGGAATCCTTTAAAAAGGAGTTTGCAGGGGAAGGACATCGAAAAGAGCGGAATAGCCAACAAACGACAACAGGGCCCATGGCAAATAGGGCCTTTGGGGAGCAGCTATGGGAGGGCCCCAAAACTGCCAGCACCCC